GGATTAAAGGTGTGCACCACCACCGCCGAGTCCCCTTTTTCACTTTTAAGGAAGTCTCTGAGAAGGCTCTTGGTGCTGTAGGTGAGCCACCAATGTCACAGAGCCTGTACCCAGTGTATTTTTAAAAATTTTTTAAAGATTTATTTATTTATTATGTATACAGTGTTCTGTCTGCATGTATCCCTGCAGGCTAGAAGAGGACACCAGATCTCATTACAGATGGTTGTGAACCACCTACGGTTGCTGGGAATTGAACTTGGGACCTCTGGAAAAGCAGCCAGTGCTCTTAACCTCTGAGCCATCTCTCCAGCATACTTTTAATTCCAACACCGATCTATGTGAGTTTGAAGCCACTCACTCTTTTTAAAAAAAAAAAAACGGTCAAACAAGCCAGGTGTGGTGGCACACACCTTTGATCCCAGCACTTTGGAGGCAGATGGATCTCTGTGAGTTCTGGGTCAGTTTGTAAGTTCTAGCCTGGCCTATATAGTGAGATACTGAACAAAATAAGGAAGGAAGGAAGGAGTGAAGGAGTGAAGGAAGGAAGGAAGGAAGGAAAGAAGGAAGGAAGACTGAGCCAGGCATGGTAGTTTAAGTTCACGTTATAAGCACATGTGAGACTCAGACAGAATTGCCAGGAGTGCAAGTCAAACCTGAGCTACCAAGTGAGATGCAAAGAGAAAAACAAACCAAATTATAAACAAGCAAGCTGGGTATGGTGCCGTGTCCCTATAACCCTGCACTTAAGAGGCAGAGGTAGGCGGATCTCTGTGAGTTCGAGGCCAGCCTGGACTACCAAGCGAGTTCCAGGACAGCCTCCAAAGCCACAGAGAAACACTGTCTCGAAAAACCAAAAAAAAAAAAAAAAAAAAAAAAAGAGGCAGAGGTAGAAGGTTCAGGAATTCAAAGCTAGACTCACCTAAACATGGAGCTGAGGGCCAGCCTGGGATACATGAGATCTTTTTTACAACTTAAAAAAAAAAAGATGAATTGACCTGGAAGTGGCTTTTATTTTCCTTTCTTCTTTCTTCTTCATTTTCCTCTTCTTTTGACATTTGCTTTTAGTAAGTAGCAATATTAAGAAGACACAACCACATCCTGCCTTTTCAAGTACAGTCTTCTGTCATCAAAGGCACATGGTTACCACCAAATGACATCAACGCACCATCACACAGAGTCACCACTAGCCTTGGATACCCCTTGTATGTGCTTGCACAAGTGTACAGTGAGTGATGGGGGTCCATTGTTACTGTGTCATACAGGAGGAGGGTCTCAGTGCCTTAAAGATCCCCTGGGTTCCAAGTATCGACACTTGAGTCTCCAGCAGCACTGACCTTCTTCCTGTTTCTGCAATCTGACTTTTGCACATGGTTTCTTGCATCTTGACATGTATATTTAAATCTGTCTTGTAACTTTCAAATTGTTTTTACATTTATTTATTTGCTTGCTTTGTGCGTGCGTGCGTGCGTGCGTGTGTGTGTGTGTGTGTGTGTGTGTGTGTGTGTGTGTGTGTGTGTGTGCCTCAGAGTGCAGGAAGAGGTCAGAGGAGAACTCTCTGGAGTTAGTCTTCTCCTCCCACCATGTGGCTACCAGGCTCTGAGTTGTGCTTGATGCTCTTCATGCACATTTCGGGCAGCTGTAAGTTTTCTTTTTCTTTCTTTCTTTTTTTAAAAATTTTTTTCAAGGACGAGGCAGCTATAGGTTTTCTTCCTTAATCATTAATGTAATTGAAAAACATTAAAACTTCTTTGTTTTCCTCATAACTCACCACGGTTGAATGTGGCCCATGCATTTCCAGGGTGATCACGTGTGCTTTTCCTTCTTGGCAATTTCCCTGTCTAGTTTTCATCAAGATTAGGCTAACTTCTTACAATTACTTCTGGAAAAAGTGTCACCATTGCTTGACTTTATGGCGTTACCTGTCAGTAAAAACACATGCAGGCCTGGCATTTTCTTGGCATAAGATTTTAAACTATAATTTACTATCATTTCAGTTTCCTTAGTGTTTATATGACTAGGTGGGTGTTCTATCTCTTCTTGGGTGTCAATTTTGTATTTTCGTAGAAATTAGCCACTTGAATTGGATTATTACTTGCCTGGTGCCCAAGAAGGCAAGAAGAGGGCATTTGGATCCCATGGAATTGGGAGTTATGGAAGCCACCATGTGGTTCTGAAGTCAAATCTGGGTTCTCTGGAAGTTGCCAGTGCTGTTAACCACCGAGCCGTCTCTCCAGCTCCTCCCCACTCCCTCATTTTTAAAATAATCCTGTATTCACAGGTTGCAGAGACTGTGTCTAGCACTGTGGGCCATCCCCAGCCTCACTGGTGCTGGCATCTTATGAAACTAGAGACAAGGATGAAACCAAGAGATCAAAGGGCTTGTTTGTCACGAATCACGACAATTGTGTGCATATAGCTCTTATCACATGACAGCCTGTAGAGGACAAAAATGCCTTTCGTATACAGATAAGCACAGGAGAAGCCAGGAAAGTCAAACACACAACTCACCTCTTCAACGGAATGAGGTGTGAAGCTGCTCTTCCTGGAACTCTGGGGATGATGTCGTTTTTTACCACCTGGTGATCCTTTGCTGTCTGATGAGACAGGCTCTGCCTTAACTCCCAGAATTCTTGTTTTTACTTATCCAAGACCTTTTCCCCTAAATCTTGAGCATTGCTTTTAGGCCATAAACCCTACTCTTGACTGAGGTCGCTCGTGCTTTACAACATCCTAAGTGAGTTCCATGTTATCTTAGGGCCAGGCCAGCCCCAAACACACAGGGGTTATGTTTACCTCAGTCAAGCTCCCTAGACCCCAAATCTTGGTCTCTGAGTCAACAGTACCCATTCCTGTGAAAGAAACCAGATGTACTTTGTAAGGAATCTCAGTGTAAACATGCACTTGGGACTGAGTTAATTGTTATCTGAATATTTTTTTCCAAAACTGTGCTGTGCTTACATATGGCTAAAGTAAACTGATCTGGGTCAGACTGTAGAAGTCCTGGGCCAGCACTGGTTACAATAAAATTGTGTGGATTTTATTGCAAAACAATCATGATCGTTTCTCCTGCCTGCTCTGAAGACTGAAAGTGAATCCCATAATAGCCTTGTGCAACCACCACCCCATTGTGACACTTGACCACTCCGTATCAAAAGGCCTCTCTCATACCCCTTTCTGGTCCAGCCCAGTTCCCACTCTTAACCCCTAACCCCAATGACAGTTCCCTTTGTGTCTAAATATAGTATTCCATGACTGTTACATAAGTGGAATAATGCATATAACATTAATCAATACCGTGATGGCTACATTTATGTCAGCTTGACACAAACTCTAGTTCCTCTGAGAGGAAGAAACCTGGATTGAGAAAATATCTCCATACGATTGGGCTGTTGGGCCTGCCTGCTGGACATTTTCTGTGATTGATGGGGAGGGCCAAGTCCATTGTGGGTAGTGCCACCCTGGGCTGTGATCCTGGGTTCTACAAGAAAGCAAGCCAAACGTAACAAGTCAGTAAGCAGCACCCTTCCATGGCTTCTGCATCAGCTCCTGCCTCCAGGTTCCTGTCCTGTTTGGGTTCCTGTCCTGACTTCCTTTAATGACAAACAGTGATAAGGAAGTACAAGCCAAATAAACCCTTTCCTCCCCAACTTGCTTTTTGGTCATGGTGTGTCATTGAAGCAATAGAAACCCTGACTAAGACACATTGGCACCAGTACTTCAGGATATTGCTGTGACAACCCTGACCATGTTTTGGGGAGGATTGTGGAGGACTTTGGAACTTGTGCAATAAAAGCCGTTGAGTGTTCAGGGCTTGATAAGCCCTTCCGTGGAATCTTGGAAAATAAGGATGTTGAGGTCAATGTAGAGAATGGAGGCCTGGCTTGTGACGTTGCAAAGGGAGTTTAAAGACTCTGTCAGGGTCTCTTCTTATTTTAATTTAAGATTCGGTGGTTCAGCTGGGCAGTGGTGGCGCATGCCTTTAGTCCCTGCACTCGAGTGGCAGAGGCAGGAGAATCTCTGAGTTCCAGGCCAACCTGGTCCTACAGAGTGAGTTCTGGGACAGCCAAGGCTGTTACACAGAGAAACCCGGTCTTGAAAAACAAACAAACAAAAAATCAGTGGGTCTGGTTAGCTAGGGTTAGAGAATTAGCTGCGGGTAACAAGACGCCAGAACTACTAACTGAAGCCTTCTCTTTGCTGGGGTTCTTAAGGCTGGTCAGCTGATACTGAGATTAGCCGTGATTAGGAAGAGACCAGCATCACTGAGGTGAGTCTCCTGAGGTGTTTCCTGAGTCAGCACACGGAAGCTTGTTCCAGAGACTGCCAAGGTTGTACCTCGTGCTGGCAGCTGAACTTGGTAATGTGTAAGAATCACCCAGGTGGTCCTGGTTTTGAAGGCATGAAGGGGTCATGGACAGCAGCTGAAGCTGGGGCCAGTGAGAGCCAGGAGAAGCCGTTGGTGAAGGTGCAGCTTTCGCGGTGCCAGAAGGCCTAGGCTTGGCACCACGAAGAGAGCCTAGGAGAAGCTATTGGTGAAAGTGCAGCCCAGTTGCAGCAGAGACCCCAGCGTTTGGAAATAACCAGTAGCATGGGATGACCACCAAGAATAGCAGCTGTCAAGCTGACATATACCATTACCACCATCATACATGGGATATGACTTTTAGTGAGTTTCTTTTTTGTTTTGTTTTTCCGAGACAGGGTTTCTCTGTGGCTTTGGAAGCTGTCCTGGAACTCTCTTTGAAGACCAGGCTGGCCTCCAACTCAACAGAGATCCACCTGCCTCTGCCTCCCAAGTGCTGGGATTAAAGGCATGGGCCACCAACGCCCAGCTGTGAGTTTCTTTTTTTTTTTTTTTTTTTTATGGTTTTTCGAGACAGGGTTTCTCTGTGGCTTTGGAGGCTGTCCTGGAACTAGCTCTTGTAGACCAGGCTGGCCTCGAACTCACAGAGATCCGCCTGCCTCTGCCTCCCAAGTGCTGGGATTAAAGGCGTGCGCCACCAACGCCCGGCGTGAGTTCATTACTTAAAAACCTCTTTAGTTGGGACACCAGGACTGCAAGATGGCATCTCTCGTGTCACTGAAGGGGAAGAAGCTCATGGAGGTTAAACTTGGAGAGCTGCCAAGCTGGATATTAATGCAGAATTCTACCCCCAGAGGCACTGTGGGAGCCTTTCAGAGAGGTTACGACCGGTATTACAACAAGTGCATCAACGTGTGGAAAGGCAGCATCTTGGGGATTAACATGGTGCTGGCAGCCTACGTGGTTTTCAGCTACTGCCTTTCTTACCAGGAACTCAATCATGAGCAGCAAGGCAAGTTCTACTGGAGAAGGGTCTCTGTGGATGGCACTGCACACCTGTGCACAACCGCCTGCCACACTCCCATCCGTGAAGAAGTCAACAGGGGCCGAGTCTTCAAATCCTGACTAAGAACTAGTGTCCAATAAAAGCTGACTGATATGTATGTATGTATGTATGTATGTATGTATATATATATATATATAAACTTTCTAGTTAATTATCTTGTATTTCATGTGTATATTATGGGGGACACTCGGGCCACAGGGCACGTGTGGAGGTCAGAAGAAAACTTCGTGGAGCTGGTTCTCTTCCTCCTTCACACGCGTTACAGGGTGAAACTCTTCTCAGTAAGGCATGAGAAGCAAGCAGAATTCAGCTTGCCAGGGTTGCACAGCCAGTACCCTTAACCACTGAGCCACCTTGCTGGCCCAGATTTTAGTCTTGAAAGCAATTACCAAACTATTTTACACAGTGGCAGCCGGTTCTGGCACACTTGAAAAGTCACACCCTGTGCTCAGCTGTGTGTGATGGAGTCCCTCAGCTTCCTCGCCAGCGACCAGCGCGTTTTAAGCATTCTGACTGAAGTGTAGTGACAGACCCCGCTGCAGTCTCCTTGGCACGTTTGTGTGGCTCGTGGGCTGCCTCTTCATGTGTTCATCGCTATCTACACGTCCTCGGAGGAGCAGCTGTGTCCTCTGTGTGCTCCAAGAGAGAGTCGGAGCACAGGACTGTCCTCTCCCTAGACAATTGTCTCTTTGTCTTTGTGGGTAGTTGTCATTTTTATGATTAGTACTATCTCTGCCTTAAAACCTATTTGGTTGACTGAGCATGACGGTGCATGTCTGCCCCGCTAGCCTCCCAGCACTGTGGAGGCCTGGAGCTCACCATTTAGATTTAGTTCAGGTTGACCTCACGAACCTGCAGGGACCCCTTCTGCCTCTGCCTCCCAACCGTGACCACTGCAGTGTGCACCGTTATGCCCACAGAGTTTTTTTTTTTTTTTTAGGTTAAATTGTTTTCCTCTTCCTCCCATCTACATCCCCCTCTCTTTGGAAGGCACAACATGTAATTATTTGAATGGAACTTGGTTTCCCTGGTGTATTTTTCTTTCTTTCTGTGTGTGTGTGTGTTTTCAAGACAGGGTTTCTCTGTGAAATAGTCCTGGCTGTACTGGAACTCAATTTGTAGACCAGGCTGTCCCCAAACTCACAGAGATCCACCCGAGTGCTAGAATTAAAAGCATGTGCCACCATTGCCTGGCTTGTGTAGTTATTTTAACGGACATACTGGAGACATAATGCTGACCGGCACACTGCCCTGCTTATGAACTACTCAAACACCTGAAGGTGCCTTGTGTCACTAGTCACTCCTACTTGCCACTGTTGACACTACTGTTTCATCTGGCATGTCTCCCACAAGACAGAGCTGTTGGTATTCGGCAGTGCTCAATTAGGTTTTCCTATTTCAACTACTTCTGTGTTCAAGTTTTAATTTTATGTATATGCATATGTGTGGGTGCATAAACATGTTCAGGTGTGTGTTGGTGCACGTGTGCATGTACCTATGGAGGTCAGAAATTAACTTTAGATGTCTCTGTCTGACCTAGAACTTACTGATTAGGCTAGGCTGGCTGGCCAGGGAGCCCCAAGGATGCCCCTGTCTCTATGTGGGTGCTGGGGATGAACTCAGGTCCTGTATCGTGCAGCAAGCACATTACCAACCGAGCCATCTCCCCAGCCCATGTGTGTCGGTTTTCAAACATGTCCACAGATTATTAGATGCCCAGAAAGGAGCCCAATCCCCAACCTCGTTGGTGAAAAGAATTAGAGTTTGGGACTCCACTCTCCTTCAGTCTGTTATAGTGGTCATCAGTTACCGTGGTTTAAATATTGCGCAATCTCAAATCAGAACCACCTGGTCCTCAGCCCACAAATATCTTAAAGTTTTTTCTTAGTTGGGTGTGGTGGTGCCTGCCTTTAATCCCAGCACTTAGGAGGCAGGTGGATCTCTTTGAGTATGAAGCTAACCTGGTCTAACAAAGTGAGTTCCAGGACAACCAGAGCTGTTCAGAGAAACCCTGTCTTGAAATTTTTTTTTAAAAAATTATATGGGCTGGAGAGATGGCTCAGAGGTTAAGAGCACTGACTGCTCTTCCAGAGGTCTTGAGTTCAATTCCCAGCAACCACATGGTGGCTGACAACCATCTACAATTCAATCTGGTGTATATGTAATTAATAAATAAAAAAAATCTTTAAAAAAATTATAAAGTTTTTTTCTTGAAATTGTCCTCTGGGTTTGGGGTTCACTTGCTATACAACTCTGTAAAGCCTTAAATTTACCTTCCTCCTGATACACCTGTGGCTGCCATTAGTGATAGCTTTTTGCTGGTAAATTTTCAATTTTGTTTGAAAATGTTTCGGTCTACCTGTGTTCTGTAGAGATATCATCACTGGGCATGGACTTTGAGGTGAATAACTATATTGTTTTGGCCTTTGATATTTTTTAATCTTGTTTTTAAAGATTTATTTATTTATTATAAATAGGGTTCTGTCTGCATGGATACTTGCAGGCCAGAAGAGGGCACCAGATCTCATTACAGATGGTTGGAAGTCACCATGTGGTTACTGAATTGTGTTCTTAACCACTGAGCCATCTCTCCAGCATTGGTGGCTCACGCCTTTAATCCAAGCACTCAGGAGGCAGAGGCAGGCAAATCTCTGTGAGTTCAAGGCCAGCCTGGTCTACAGAGCGAGTTCCAGGACAGCCTCCAAAACAAATACAGAGAAATGCTGTCTCGAAAAACCAAAAAGAAAAAAAAAATTGTGTGCCACTGCCAGGCGGTAGTGGCGCACACCTTTAATCCAAGCACTCGGGAGGCAGAGGCAGGCAGATCACTGTGAGTTCGAGACCAGCCTGGTCTACAAGAGCTAGCTCCAGGACAGGCTCCAAGCCATAGAGAAACTGTCTCAGAAAAAAAGTGTGTGCTACCACATCTGGCCATTTTTTTATGTGTATTAGTGTTGTACCTGTGTGCATGTCCCAGTTGAGTGTAGGTGCTGGAAAGAGCAGCCAGTGCTCGAAACAACTAAGTCATCTCTCCAGCCCCAACAATGGATTTTTTAATGGCATTTCCATACACGTGTGTCGTTATCCTTGGTTTTCAGTCAGTCCCCTCCTCCAGTGCCCTCTAGTGATGCCTGCCCCATTTGGCTGCTTCCCTTTCTCCCCTCAGGTAGCTTCCTCTGTGCATTCTTACCACTCAGTGGGTTTTTTGGGAGGTGGTTTACTGTCATCGCATTTCCTTTTTGACCTCATGAAAACGAGTTTGAGTTTCCCCTCCAAGCTTACTGGGATTTGCTGGAGTTTTTATAAGAACTAGTGGCTGGTAGGCAAGTCCAACCTTCTGACATCAGAGCACGATGTCATCTACAAGATGTTGTCATCCACAAGCTTCATGATCAAGAACCACACAAACCCATTACAAGGAAAAAAAATCATCTCAACAGATGAGACCGGCCATATTCAGGGACGTACAGCCACACAGAAAACAAAAACTTACGATTAGTAAGTTTACAATTTTGTGTTGGGGGCTGAAGAGATGGCTCAGTGGTTAAGAGCACTGTCTGCTCTTCCAAAGGTCCTGAGTTCAATTCCCAGCAACCACATGGTGGCTCACAATCATCTGTAATGAGACCTGGCGCCCTCCTCTGGTGTTCAGACATACATGCAATGCAGGCAAGAGTACCGTATATATAATAAAACAAATAAAAAAAACTGCGTTTGTTTTCCCTTAAAAAAAAAAAACAATTTTGTGTTGGGTGTACTCAAGAGTTACCCTCAACTGGGCAAAACCACACACAGCTCACAGGGCCACAAGTTGGACACATTGTGCCCTTCTAAAAAACCTGTATGCCAGTTCTGTTAATGCCCCTATCCTGTTACTGTCTCAGTAAGACCAGCCTCCCCATCAGTTGAGGGAGGCCCTGAACCCTCCTCCACATGTCCTTGCTTAGGGCTGTTATTTCCTAACCTGTCTCAAAATTCCCTTTTTTCTGGCTGGGCTGAAAATGTTCATCTGATGTTTAGCTCATTTATGAAGACTTTCATCTTATTATCATTTGATCGTTCTAGACAAAGTTCCTGTGTGTAGCCTTGGCTGCCCCTGGAACTAGTTCTGTAGACCAGGCTGGCCCTCAAACTCAGTGACCTGTCTCCTAAGTGCCGGGACTCAAGTCATGAGCCGCCACTGCCCGGTGAGACTTCCATTTCAAATGCAATTGTTTTTGATTTCTAGACGTTGGTTCATATTGACACCCTCTTATTCTATTGAAAGCTAACAGCTTTTCTAACATAAAGAGCACAGACTATATTATTCCTTGGTCACATGTTCAAGAGCCCCCTCCATTTCTTCAGATCAGTGTCATTATGTTTGCTCTGTGACTCTAGCTCCCAGTCCCTCAGGTCTTCTTTTGTTAGCTTCTGCGGCCTGTGGTGTTGTTGTTTTTAGGCAGAGGAGTTCATCTTGGAACTTCACACTAAACACCTTTAGCCTGTTGTGTCTGTGTTCCTCTCAACCAGGGGACAAAGTCTCCCCTGAGAACAGTGAAAGGTGCGTCTCTAGATAACTAGTTGTCACAACTGGGAGTCTGTGTGCGCTACCAGCACCAGAGGGTAGGCCGCAGGGATGGGGTTAAACTCACACAAGACAGTTGGACCCGCAGAAGACGCTTTCCTACCTCATAGCACTAGGGCTCGGCTCCAGGGAGCGCCCCCAGCCTACCAGGACCGCTAAAAATTCCCTTGACAGTGGTGGTCACGCCTTTAATTCCTGCGCTCTGTAGGCAGGTTTCTGAGTTTGAGGCCAGCCTGGTCTATACAGTGAGTTCCAAGACAACCAGGGCTACAGAGAGAAACCTTGTCTCAGGAAAAAGAAAACAACAACAACAAAAACCAGTTGTCTTTAGGCCCACACAGGACGCCTGGCTCCAGGACACAAACTTCTAAGAAACTATATTCTAGAGACTACACATGCATGTTTTCCACCCTGCTTGGAACATCAGGCTCTGAGGTCATGTTTGCTGAATCTGTCAGCTTGTGTCCATTCACCTCCTGGTATGAGAGGTCTCCTGAAGAATGCCACCCTAGAGCAGAGCCCATGTTGTTCCACCTCCAATCCCGCGATGCCGTGAAGGGCACCCAGCCTTCCAAGGTGTGCGCTTGGGGTGGGGGGGAAGCTGCTCACCTAGCTAACCACCCGTGTCTTGTTTTGTATGTGGAAGGGGTTTGAGACAGGGTTTCTCTGTGTAGCCACAGTTGTTCTGGAGCTCACTCTGTAGACCATGCTGGCCTCAAACTCAGAAATCTGCCTGTCTCTGGCTCCCAAGAGCTGGGATTAGAGGCGTGTGCTGCTATGTCCAGCCACCAGCTGTCTTTCAGTAGCAAGCATCTGACCCCACTAGACCAGGATGAACAGACTCCCCTCACCCAGCCTGTACCCATCCGAGCTGCCAGTGCAGGATGTGAGCAGGGAAACAGTCATATCCAAGGAGGCTCAGCTTCTCCCGGTGCCCCTGGTTCACTTTTCTATGGCTGAGTCAATGCCAGACCAAGTAGAACATTAAAAGATGGAGGCGTAGAGCCTGATGGTGGTGGCGCATGCCTTTAATCCCAGCACTCGGGAGGCAGAGGCAGGCGGATCTCTGTGAGCTCGAGGCCAGCCTGGTCTAAGAGAGAGTTCCAGGACAGTTGAGCTACACAGAGAAACCCTGTCTCGAAAAGCAAAAACAAACAAAAAGATGGAGGTATGAGTAGGTCCCAGACCTAGGGCATCCACACCCTGTGAAATGGGTGTGTTTGGCCCACGGTGCACTTCATAACTTAGCTGGGAAGCCCAAAGTCACCCATTTTGGGGATGGAATCCCCTAGGGAAGGACCATACCTGAACTACCTTGATGCCATCTTCCCCTGGAGTTAGTTAAGGTAAGGCAGTGCAGTAAGGTAAGTAAGTCAAGCTATTGGCTTATTTCTAGGAACCAGACTGGCAGCCTGATTCCTTCTCAGCCTCTGTTACAGACTTCTAGGCTCCCCCAACGGACACAGACCCCTCTATAAGAGAGACCCATTCTCCTTCCATTCCAAAGAGTCTGAGTCACAATCACTTTGTCTTAGTGCCCTTGGTGGGGAGACGGAACCTCTAACCTCGTATGTCTCCAGGCCTCCTAGCCTACCCTCAGTACAAATAATCTACTTGTTCACTCACTCAGAAACACCAAGGTAAGACGACAGGACAGGAGGAACCCAGCTCAGTCATCGGCCTCTGCAGGGCATTATGAGAAATACAGCCCAGTGTGACCAGTACTTTTTACTAAATACCAGGATCCCAGGGAGCCCTACACGAGGGGACAGGACGACTGTAAACATGCCCCCTTCTTTGTTCAGGGCTGCCTAAAATCAGATAAACAGGAGGAATGGTCCTCTGCCATCCACTGACAATGGAAGTAGCAGCTTTGGGCACCACAGAGCAGTACTTTGAGTAGCACCCACCATGTAGTGTCAGGCCAGCCTGGGGCAAGCCTCAGGACAGTTCGGACCACAAGAGAGGAGGCAGGTGCCCCCTCAAGGGCTCCGAGGGCTAAGCCGGGCTCACAGCAGTGCCATGGAGCTGAGGCTAAGTCTGTGTGCATGTCCTAGAGGGGTACCACGAGCTAGATGAAAGTGGAGTCCAGGGGCCCAGCATCCTGCTGGCTGAGAGCCCGGGCCTCAAACAGCTGCTTGATGAGTGCAGACTTCTCCTGCTCCAGCTGAGTGATGCGCTCGCTCTTATCAGTCACCTCCTGGGCAAGCGGGCAGGCGGGCGGGCGGTCAGGGCTTGCTAGGCCGCCGGCCCCAGCCCCATCTTCCCACACCTCACCTGAGTGAGAAGCCGGTTCTGTTCTTTCAGCATGAGGATGGTCTGCTGCTGCCACACTGGTGTTGAGGGAGAGGTGGGACCCAGGGGCCCCAAAGAAGACGAGGGCAGAGCCTGTGGGAATGTACAATCAGGCAGGCCTCTTCTGGGCATAGCGTCCAGAACAAAGACAGGGGGCGCCAGGGAGGCTCAGAGCACTCACTCTGCCAGAACAGGCTGCAGTCAACAGCTCCCCCAGGCACCGGGCCACCTCCTGGACTTTGGGCAGCAACCTCCCCAGAGGGAGGGGACTCCCCGCAGTCCCAAAGTCCTGGAAGAGAAGCAGGGGACACCAGGCCATGAGGAGATTCCTGCACCTGGCACTCCTGTTCCCCCAAAGCTTCAGCTCACAGTCTAGGGGGGACCCACCCAGGGCTGTGGGCAGGGGTGACCCAGCACTCACAGCTCCAGCTCTGCTCTGGCTCAGGCGGCGCTGGCGCTCCTGCACACGCTGCAGCTGCTGCTGGTACCATTCGCGGCCCCGAGCCATCATCTCCAAGCCCTGCAGCAGCACCTCCTGCTCCTGGTCTAACTCCTTCATCTGCTTCAACTATAACACACGTGCACATAGGAATATACGCATGCCGGCAAGCAGACCGGCATGCATACCTGCACAGGCCTGTGTGCTCGGGGAGCCACGGGTATAGAAGCTGAGCCCCGCGCACAGGCACACCAGCGCAGACACAGACATCACATAGACACAAGTGCAGTCTGCAGAGGCGCACAGGGATGCACCAGCGTGTGCAGGGAAGGTTCAAACTTATGCCTTGGAGAACAGAGCCCTTTGGATGGTGGTGGTGATGGGGACGGGACTCTCTCACATCTCTCTACTGACGCTTCCCCAGGGTAATGGAGTGGCCCAACAGACTCAGCACCCTGGTCTTTGTGCACTAAGCTGGCCTGCAGAGGTGAGCCTCATGAGGTAGGCATGGCAGGGGCCCAAACTCTGTCTCCAGGTATCCCTAGAAAACCTCTCCTCCCTCTGCCTGACTTGGCCTGCTTCTCTCTAATAGATTCCAGCCCAGGAGAGGAAGATTCAGAGCTGACCAATTCTCCTCCAGGGGTTCCCCAAGTAACCAGGCTCGCGTTTCCAACCTTCTGGACAACATAGAGAGTCCCTCAGAGTCCTGGCCCCTCTCACCAGACCACAGTCCACACCGTTGGTGATGGTATGCCTTCGACGCTCGCCTCGGGCCCGTGGAGCCGGCCGCGTTTCACCTGTGCCTACGTCCAGCGTCTTGCAGGCTGCTGCACCTGTAGCACACAATCATCAGGGTCACAGCTTAACTCTGGGCCTGCCTAACGGGCTCAGCATTTCATTCCAGCTCCTCAGCCCTTCCAAAACCTTCCAACTAACTCTGATAATGCCATCCCCAGGGACCAGGGCTGTCCTGGGAACCTTCATCTGTTGACTTTGTACCTGGCTGGGACTCAGTCTCCTTTTGCCTGCCCTGCCTCCCTCACCTGCCTTAAGGAGGGCTGTGAGCTCCCCGAGCAGTTGGAGAGAAGGTGTGGATACAGTTCTTTCCTGCACTCCTCTCAAGAGCATCAAAGGGGGAAGGGTAAAAGATGGGATGGACGAGGCCAGGGCGTGGTGGTAATGCCTTTAATCCCAGCACTCAAAAGGCAGAAGCAGGCAGATCTCTGTGAGCTGGGGGCCAGCCTGGTCTACAGAGTGAGCTCCAGGGCACACAGAAGTATAGAGAGAGACCTTGTTTCAGAAAAACAAAGCAACAAAAGCGGCAGACAAGCAGAGGCCTCTGGCTTGTTCCACGCCTTTCCCGGCTGCATGGGACCTTGTGGCACAGCATCTGGTAGGAGGGAAACTAATTCTCCATTGGCGGTGGAGACATAATTCCTGCCCAGAAGCAATCACAGTATAAAGTGAGTTGTGCATACATGTGCCATAGGCTCCTGTGAGCATCGTCTGGAGGGCCTCCCCACCTACCAAAAGTGGGTGCAGGTAGGAAGGTGGGTACCTTCCCCCAACCTCCCCAACCCTGTCCCTGGCATCAGGATCACCCCTGAGGCTATCACAGGAGTGACAGATACAATTAATTGTGCTCAGATGTGCATGGCAGACACTCTAGCTCCAAGCGGGCCCCAAAGTTCATGTCCCAGCCTGCAGTTTCAGGGTGAGGCCATGGGAGTTACACAAGATGGCTACTGTCTCCAGAAGGTGGGGCCAGGGCAGGTACTGGCAATGAGTTCTAGGAAGGCACCCTGGGACACTTGGACCTGACTTGCACAGAAGGAGGCATAAATCACAGGGCTGGGAATCTGAGGTCATGTGTGTGTTGTCAAGCATACGGTAATAATCCTTACAGGGCCTTGGCCGACCTATAGAGGAGTCAGAGCTGGAGACTGGCTTACAGAGCAGCGGGCTAAATGCTGCCCTGTCATGGGTCCTGAGCACATGACCTCCACAGAAGTAACTGGCCCAGGACCACACAAGGTAGAACAGATCTGTACCACAGGCAAACCCTGAGCCTGTCCATTGCACACAGGACTTCAAACACACGGCTATACCAGCTATGTCCAGAAGCCTCTCCTGCCATAGGAACAGAGTCAAGGCTGGAACAAATAGAGTGCCCGTGTGTCAACACACACACACACACACCGTTTATATCAATTCACAAGGGACACAGCGGAACATGGCTGAGGCACGAGAGGTCTGGTGAGGCTGGCAGAGCCGTGGCCCGTAGCAAAATGGCCCAGCAGCTGCCACCAGTGGGCAGCCCTGCACCTGGCAGGTCAGTGCACGGTATGAATGGGCTGCAGGGCTGAAGAGGGCCGTGGGCTCCTCTGAAAACCTGCCTCCATGTTTAGCCATAAAGCAAGCCCTGTTCTCCAGGCAGACAGGGGGCTATTCAACAGTCTCCTGTCCCTGCCAACTAGACCGGAAGGAGGGAGAGGAGCCTGCTGGACTCCCCGGAGACTGCGAGCTGTGTCTGGCAGCAGCACAGCACAGCAGGTGGCGTAGGGCACAGACACCCCTCAACATACACACACCCAACCTGCCTCACAGGTGCTCCTACGCCACCTCCTCTGTGGGGTGGAGAAGTAGGCCGGGTGGTCTCTGCAGGGTGTCACACTGAGAAGGACCCCCAGGGCACGTTAGAGGATGCTAGCTTTTAGGAAGAAACTTGTGCCCAAGCAGTCACACAGAAACGAGAACGAGGGCCCGGATGTCTCCACGTCTAGGGCAGGTACTGCGCGGGTAGCAAGCCACAGGCGTCCCAGTGCCTAGCGCAGGTTGAGACAGAATGGGCTTCTCCTGGGTGTTCAGAGTCATCGACCTGCCTTGGCCCTGGAATCAGGCCTCTCTCTGCCCGCAGCTCACATAGGCACAGATCGAAGCCTCTTTCCATCTAGGAGGTCCCAACCTTGCTTTAGGAGCCTGCCCAGTGGTCCCCATCGCCATCCCTCTGAGTTTCCAAACTCACTCGCGTCCGCGCTAGGACTCCGCGCCAGCGCCTTACTCAGGGGCCGCTCGGGCTCCTCGGGAGAGGGTGCAGCCTCTGCCGGGACACACAATAGCTCAGGGTTCCGGGAGGTGCCACTAGGGCCAGCAGGCGCGGGGCGCGCACTCGGGGGCAGAGGCTTCCTCTCCAGGACAGTCCGCGGCTCGTCGGCGGGTATGAACATCAGGCGCTGCTGCAGCGTAGGCTGGTCCCCAGACCGGGGAGCGACACGTGCCTGATCCCTCCGGCCGCCGTTGGCGTTCAGCAGCGAGGTGCGCAAGCCCGCCACGAAGCGCTCGAAGGTTAGGTAGCCACTGGCCGGGGCCACCTGGCGCAGGCCCTCGAGCACGCCGCAGGGCAGCTCGCGTGCGTCTGCACCCTGCCAGCGGGACTCGATCTCGCGCAAGTGCACATAGCCGCGCTGCCGGTCGTCCAGGATGTCGAAGAGGGTGCGCAAGCTCTGGAGAAAAGCTCGCGGTAGCCCCTCGGTGCTAGGCGTGGGCGCGGCGTGCGACAGGCGGCCACGCTCGGCCATCGCTGCCACGGCCATGGGCACCCAGCTTCCATCCGCGTCGGTCCCCACAGGACCAGAAGGCGGGACCTGCACGGCGCGCGCGCCCCGCCACCACAATAGCTGCTGTTTTTGAATGGAGCTCTCCTCACCGCCGCGTCAGCTCTCATTACTATTCACGGCGGCTATTGGTCGAAACTGGCCCATCTGCTCCGGGATTGGCTCGGCAGCCACCAGTCCAGTTTGATTTTTTCCTAGGTAGGGGCGGGTGCCCCCACCCCGCCAGGGAGTGGGGCTGTGTGACGAGGTACGTGCAGAACCGGCCAGAGCCCCTGCTCCCCACGATCCCCCTGCCTCCACGCCCACCATCCGTCCTGCCTCGGAAAAACCTTTTCTCCTGTCCATCTGTGCTGCGCCCTGCCAGCCACTTCTCTGAGGGGCGGAGCGTGGCACCCTTCACAGATCTTGTACCCACGTAGCCTCTCGAGTAAGGATGTGATGGTCCAGCCCCTCCTACCCCCTTCTGTCCTTTACACCGAGTGTCCCTTGACTCCAGGCGGTGCCGGTTGACTCTGGGGCTCCCTTCTTTTGCATCACGAACGCCCCAAGAGGATTGTAGGCTCCAGACAGCTAGGCGCTCTCCTTCACTGAGGCCTCTGTCCCTACAACTTCCAGCTCTACCTTTGGTCCTTTGGGACAGTGTGCCTTGTCCTGCCAACTGTAGGACAAAGCCAAGTTGTCTTGTGTCCCCAGATGCCCATCCGCAGACCAGTTCCCTTGGTGTTTTGGACCTGGTCCCCTGCTCTGGCCCTTTCTTCCTTTTTCTTCTTTCCTTCCCTTTTCCCTTTCCCTTCCTTTCCTTAGGGTGCCTCCCCCACCCCCACCAATTCCTTTTCCTGTCCTCTGTCCACCTGGTCACATTTCAAACTTCTAAATGTCACAGAAACATAGCCACTGAGAACAGTCCTCGTCTTAACTGCTTCTCTCTGTCTCTCTCTGTCTCTGTCTCTCTCTGTCTCTGTCTCTCTCTGTCTCTGTCTCTCTCTCCCTCTCTCTTTCTCTCTCTTCATGACAGGGTTTCTCTCTGTAACTTTGGAGCCTGTCCTGGAACTCGCTCTGTAGACCAGGCCGGCCTCGAACTCACAGAGATCTGCCATCTGCCTCTGCCTCCCAATTGCCGGGATTAAAGGCGTATGCCACCAACACCCGGCTCTGCCTCTACTTTCTAAACACTCCAGGATACTCTTCAACAATGTGGCTGAATGCCTCCAGACAGCCCCTTAACTCAGACCTCACTCCAACCCATCTGGGCAGACTTCTGGTAATAGGGTATGTGTCTCAGGCTGTGAAAGCAACTTCCCTGCCCAACCCCCCTGGCACCCCCCATTTCTCGGGGTTACTCATTCAAAATTGCTCTTGTTTGTTTGTCTTGAGACAGGGTCTTACTATGCAACCTTGCCTTGGCTGTCCTTGGAACTTGGTAGTAGACCAAACTGGCCTGTAGCTCAGATCTCCTGAGTGCTGGGATTAAATGTGTGCACCAACCACCACCCCCCATCTCACTCAGGTTGTGGTTCATTCATGGTAAGGTATTTTGGTGGAGGCCTCTAAAGAATTATGAAGCCAGAATTACTCCCTGGAACTTATCTACCCTTTAGGGGCACACCCGGTCAAAGACCCTCTGATGGTTCACATTTTCCTAGTCCTTAGGGTGTTCATCTGTACTTCCAGGCTCTGCTATCCCAAGAGGATCAGCCTCTGGTTTTGGTTGATTGTTATGAACACTTCAGACCTTGCACAGGCACCTGCTTCCTCTGCCCGGAAAGTCTACTTAGACGCTTTTACCTTGCATGCCTGGCTATAGTGGCTGTTTCCCCATGAATAATTATGATGTTTGGGACTGGGACAGAGCCTCCCAAGGTCTGGCATTGATCTGAACTACCATAGGCACTCGGTGGATAGTGAGCACACAGGAAGCTTTGTTTGGTGAGGAAATGGTACAAATGCCATACTGCCGTGGAACACCGAGCTAGGATGAGGCCTTGAGTGCTCCCAGGACAAATGCATAGGCATAGGAGTAGCCTCCAGCATCAAGGGAAAACAGTACTGCTGAGTACAGCAGAGCTAGCAAGACTCAGGCCAGGGCCCCTGGTGAACCTGAGTCGTCTGGCAGAAAAGATAAGAGCCTGTGGGTGTTGGGGGGACAGAGTTCATACGGCCCCACCCTCCCTAGGCAGCAACAGGCATTTAAAAGTTGCTGGGGGAGGGAGAGTCATATTCCTAAGCAGTGAAGCTGCTGCTTATGTAAAGAACCTCCAAATGGTATTCATGCTGACAATTCTGAGTAAATGCAGAGGGATTCTCCCCCCCACTCTCTCTGTCTCTCTCTCTCTCTCACATACACATATACTCTAACATGCTTTTGAACACTCACACATACATTCGCACACACAAACACACAAAAGTAGTAGGGCCTTGTTGGGAGGAAGGATTTGGTAAGAATGAAAAGGGACTAAGAGAAGATAAACGGGGGAATATGACCAGGGTACATTATATATGAAGTTGTGAAAGAATAAATTAGTTTTAAGAAAAGAAAGGACATAAGAATCTCTCATTGAGGGGGCTGCAGAGATGGCTCAGAGGTTAAGAGCACCGGCTGCTCTTCCAGAGGTCCTGAGTTCAATTCTCAGCAACTATGTGGTTGCTCACAACCACCTGTAATGAGATCTGGCGCCCTCTTCTGACCTGCAAGCATACATGCAAACAGAATAATGTATTCACAATAAATCTTGGCCAGGCAGTGGTGACTCATATCTTTAATCCCAGGTAGAGGCAGACTGGTCTCTGTGAGTTCCAGACCAGCCTGATCTACAAGAGCTAGTTCCCAGACAGCCTCCAAAGCCACAGAGAAACCCTGTCTAGAAAAAAAAAATTCTCTCATTGCCCAGAGCCCAGGAGAAGGTAGGCAGAGTCCTGGGTCTGTAGGCTGCCCTACGACTGACTACTGGAGAAAGATCTGGAAGAAAGTAGAGTCAGCGCCTGAGCCCATCCCCCTTTCATTCTGCTCCCAGCCCAGTCTGACACTCTTCTGGCCCCAAGGCCTTCTGTTTTGCTACCACCCCAGGGAACATCCAGAACCCAGACCAGGTGCGATTATGTCCTCCCTGTGCCAACCAGGATCCTTGGAGAGAGGTGTGCAGGAGTACAGGCGGGTGTGAGGTTGGCAAGACTCTAATGCCTCTTGGTGTAGCTCCTGGTGGTATGGAGAGGGGCCAGCTGCACTGCCTAGTGCCAGCCTCCCTAGGCTTCTCTGGTATCCACTCTGGCCTTAGGCCCTTGACAAAAAAAAAGGGGGGGGGACAGGGAAGCCCCTCCCCCAGCAGGTAATGAAGAGGGTTGAGTCCAGCTGGACTTTGCCAGCTCACGGCTTCACCAGGACTCAGTGACAGTTCTCTGGGTTTGGAAATGCTTTCAGCTATACAAACCCAATCTCCAGCCTCTGACCTGGATCCCTGCCCACACCTTGAGGCAGGATTTAGGAGTCCATCCTGACCTAGAGGGCTCATAGGTCATGCCTGTCCTATCCCCCCCCCAAAGCTCACGTCCTTCCTTCCCTGCCTAGCCCCAAAGACAGTAATGGCTGCCACGGACTCTGGCCTATGCTGCTCACCTGGCTCCTATCCGTCTACTGCCCCCACCTTCCACATGTTTCCTGGAGTTGTCTTTTCATTGTTCGGAAGTCATACCAGGGCAGACTATTTGCTCATTCCTTCCTTCATTCAGCCAGCACTCCCTGGACATTTTCTGTGACCCAGTCATGGTAGAGCTTGGCTTGGGATCCAACACTCATTTGTTCAGTAGACAAACATGCCCTTATGTCTGCTGTTCTGGAAGGTGACAGAGGGAGAGCAACGAACCAAACAGTTTCCGGCCTCCATCTCATGGAGAAGTCAAGCAGCAGAGAATTCAAGTGGGTGCTAAGAAGAAGGGGTTCAGATGGGAGAAAAGCCATTCATAGCTGTGTTCGTAGACAAAAACCCTTTCTGGCCCAAAAGAATTTGTGACCTCCATTCTTGCTTTCAGGTTTTTATTTTTACGAGAGGCTTTATGTAAGTCGGCGTCAGTGGCACTGGAGGTGAAGGTGGGCAGAGGCAGGCGGATCTCTGTGAGTTCAAGACCAGCCTGGTCTACAGAACGAGTTCCAGGACAGCCTCCAAAACAATACAGAGAAACCCTGTCTTGAAAAAAGCAAAAAATAAATAAAAATATTTTTAAAATCTCCAGCCTTTCGCCTGATCCACTGAGGTCGGGAAAGAAAGGGGAACCTGAGAGATTGCCCTCAGTTAGAGGGTGGATTGAGTAAATCTTAAGACTTTTGCCTGAGAGATCATCCTCGGTTGGAGGATGGATTGAAAATGGGCAAATTGACAGCAGATTGGATTAGAAAGAGTACTCACAAACTTCAAATAATTTTCAAAAGTTATTTGGGGCATAGTATAGTTTACAATCTTTGAGTGATTTTCACAAGTTTTTGGGAAATACTTAATGGTTATGTCCTTTTTAAAAGGAATCTACTAGTAATTTAGATAGTGATCTCAATTCACCTAGATAGTTAACTAAGGAGGGTAGATAAATCCTTCTACTCTTATAGTCCAGCATCAACAGATGTTAACAGTTAAACAAAATTTAAAAAGGGGGGGCGTAATGTCCCCAGTCCCCACATGATTCATTAAATAATACACTCCTTGTTTTAAAATTTTTAAAATGTGGATGCCAGTGAGCAATCTGCTGCGGACAGATTCTGGCATGATGGAACTTGAGCGACTTTTGTTCAGGTCAAATGGAGACACCCATGCACTAGACAGTGAAGAAGACCCAATTCTGCCCTAATTTGGGGTTGAGGGCGTGTTTGTGTTTTCTTGCAGGAAAAGAATAAAGCTTGGCAGCTGTCAGAACATTTGGGGAGATGCATGGAGCACAGTTTGGGAGCCTGCCCAAGCCAGTCGAGTGAGATCTCCTAAACCAGTGTTCCTGACCCTTGATGTCATCAAATCTACAGCCTGAGAAAGAAAGGAAACAGTCAGTTCAAGAGATTTCCAGTTTCTCATCAGGCTTGCTACATCAACCTCCCGGACCCGTGAGTTTTCATCCTGAAGCCAGCAAAGAACTGGAAGATTAGCAGTGTGCCTTTGACACACCTTGAAACAACAGAATTCATTTTGCCAGCTTTTCCCTTTGCGGAGAAAGGGACCCACTTAAAACAACTGGACACTGGTATGGACCGTGATGAGTGGCAAAAGCCCCTTTTCAGTGTTTGAACAGGACTCGGCCACTTGAAATATCAGCCTTGGTGGTTCCTGCTTCTGGAATCGCACCTATGCTGGTGTATTTTTCTGGAGAAATGCAACTTGCCCTAATGCAGCAAAAAGAGACTTTGGCATCATGGCCGCTGTTGTCGCAGCCATCGCCATATCAGCCACTGCGGCTGCCGTGGCCAGAATCGCTGTTGCCCAATCTTCCACCAAAGCAGAGACGTTAACAGCCTTGCTGGTAGAGTTAGCGAAGTGCTGTCCACCCAGAATTCTCCTAATTTGCATATTCAGCTGGGGCTGCTGGCGTTAAATCAACAAACTGTATCACTACAGGAACAAATTGATGCACATTTTTATCGTGCTACATGTGTAACTTCAATGAGTGTACCTAATATATCTGTGCAAATGCGCCTTATAAATGCTTTCCTGAGTGGATCTCAGAATGATATTTCTGTAAACTTTATCACTGTTTTGGCCCATCAAATTGTAACTGTAAATCATACACGGGTTACCCTTGTAACAGAGGAAGGCTGGTAGAACGCTATGGCCCAGATCGGGGGGATGGGTACAGCGATGGGGAGGCGCTATTGTCAATGTGGGTCCTGGGAGTGGTGGCAGTGGCGGTAGGCATTCTGGCCTTATGCCGAGTTCAAACGTGCCTTGTTCCATAGGCAACAGATCCATCAGCAAGTATTGCTCAGCTTAGCCCATGGCAATGCTGGTAACCATGAAGTCTGGTTACAGATGATTCAAGGATGAGGTTCTCTGATGACGGGAAACCTGTGGGGAAGAGACCTCCCACCTAAGATGGGTCACCAGGTCCCCCAAGGATGGGTAAGGGAAGGTGACCCTATTTGACCTTAGACAGGAATGCCTCATTAGAAAATAAAAAAGGGGGAATTGTGGGAACAAGAGACCTTGGCCACAGGCCCACTTCTCCATCAGCCTGGGAGCAGGCAGCTGTAACCAACCACAGAGAAAACATGTTTACTAAAAACAGGTTTACTGCCGGGCCTTGGTGGCGCACGCCTTTAATCCCAGCACTCGGGAGGCAGAGGCAGGCGGATCTCTGTGAGTTCGAGACCAGCCTGGACTACCAAGCGAGTTCCAGGACAGCCTCCAAAGCCACAGAGAAACCCTGTCTCGAAAAACCAAAAAAAATAAAAATAAAAAAATAAATAAAAACAGGTTTACTAAAAACAATCCGGTGCCCATAATCACAAAGAAAAACATGTTTACCCATGGAAACACCCTGACCTTGACCTTTCCAATGACTAACCGCCTCTTCCTCACCCCTCTCCTCCCCGCCTCTAGTGTAAGAGTGTATAACCAGCAGGGGTAAGAATAAGAAGAAGCTGCTGGGCGGTGGTGGCACACGCCTTTAATCCCAGCCCTCGGGAGGCAGAGGCAGGCGGATCTCTGTGAGTTCGAGAAACCCTGTCTCGTAAAAACCAAAAAAAAAAAAAAAAAAAAAAAGAATAAGAAGAAACCTTCTTTCACCACCGACTGGTCTGTGTGTCATCAATCCCGACACCCTCCACAGATTCTCGGCCAGGATGTGCAGCGGGCGCGGCAGAAAGGGGCTGTAGAGTCTGGAAAGTAAAGGTAGGCAGGTGAGGAGGGGATGCAGGCTAAAGCCTCCTCCCAGTGCCCCAGAAAGATGATAGCCCGCCAGAGGAGCTTCTTCTCAGTGAAATCTTAGATCAATCGAGCTGATTGCTCTCGTGCAGAAGGGTGGGCTGGGTCTGGTCAGTCCAAGAGAACACCCAACCGATGACACTCCCTTTCCTCCCCTGGGTAAGGATACAACAGCCACGCCCACATAGGAGGAGTGATGGGAGAAATTTAGAAGATAAACACCTAGGCTTTGGGGACTAGGAGGACTAGGAGAGCCTGGTCTGGACGATAAACCTTGAGCTTGCGGGCAGGGATAGAAAGAACCAGGGTCTTTTGAGTATCCTGGTCTTAGACAGGGATACCAGATCTTGGGATTCAGGCCCTGGAAGCGGGAAGGGGCGGGGCGGCACACTATTAAAAGGGATGGACGAGGGGCGGAGCCAAAGAGGACTGAACTGAAGCGCCAACGGAGAAGGGGGCGGGGTCCCGGCTGGAGGTGCTGCGTCCTGGGCCGGCCTCTTTGGAATCTGCGCCGCCTGCCTGAGGTCTCGTGATGTTGGTCATAAGGTCTCAAGTACCGTTTGAGACAGCAGCTGCGTTTGCAGCATGGCCTCGGAGCAGGATGTTCGGGCACAGCTGCAGCGCGCGGGCCAGGAACATCTCCTTCGTTTCTGGGACGATTTGGCTCCGGAGGCTCGAGCTGCGCTGCTAGCGGAGCTCGCCTCTCTAGAGCCCGACGCTCTGCGTGAGCACTGCCAGCGCGCCTCCGCCGCCTGCGCGCTTGCCCCGGGTCCTCTGCGGGACTTGGAGGCGCGCCTGCAGCCCCTGCCCCCAGAACGCGTGGGCAGCGCGATCCGCTGCGACCAAGAGACACGCCTGCGGTGGGAAGAGGAAGGTAGGCAGTACCGTACCGGGCGGGGGTTGGGCAGGCGCTGCCCATTGCGTCCGGAAGAGTTTGTGCCTACGAGGCAGGGGCGGGGAGGAGCTCGGGAAGTGCTGCGTGGAGGAGTTATTTGCATTGCGGCTCCTTCCTCCTGTGCTTAGTAGACCCCCGAAGTCGTGCAGTAGCAAGCTCACGTGTGGCTCTTTCAAGAGAAAGAGCCCTTTCCTCACAACGCGCCTCCCCTCCAGGTTTCCGACAGATTGCTCTGAACAAAGTGGCTGTCCTGCTGCTGGCCGGTGGGCAGGGCACTCGCCTGGGCGTCACCTACCCCAAGGGCATGTATCAAGTAGGGCTGCCCAGCCAAAAGACCCTGTACCAACTGCAGGCAGAGCGGATTCGGCGTGTTGAACAGTTGGCTGGCCAGCGACTGGGGACCCATTGCACCGTGCCCTGGTGTGTCCTCCCTGCCAACCTCCCAGAAAGGCCACCCTTCCCTGCCCCACACCAAGACCCGAGACCTAGTCCTAGCACAGCCCTAGAGAGAGCCCAGTGTCTGCCTGATTGAGCCCCATGCAGGCTTGTTCCTGCTGCATCTGCCAGGGTGAGCCCGATTCCTCTGGAAGCACAGCTCACTGCTAGGACATTTACAGGTACATCATGACCAGCGAGTTTACACTGGGACCCACCATCAAGTTCTTCAAGGAGAATGGCTTCTTCCACCTAGACCCCGCTAATGTGGTCCTGTTCGAGCAGCGCATGCTACCTGCTGTGACCTTTGAGGGCAAGGCCATACTGGAACGGAAAGACAAAGTTGCCATGGCCCCAGGTATGTCCACACCCCTGACAGGAGAGGGTTGCCCTACCTGGACCCCAGAGAGCAGCTGTGGATCAGGAGCCCTGACTCCCAGGTAAGATGTGCTTGGGCGGGCTTTGTGGCCCTGGCTCAGTCAGGTGTCTCCTCTATCACGTGATACAGTCACAAGGCTCTTGGTGACTTCTGCTCCAAGACTGAGCAGGAGGTCAAGCCATGGGAAGATCCATTCCTTTCTCCTTTCCAGACGGCAACGGCGGCTTGTACTGTGCCCTGGCTGACCACCAGATCCTAGAGGACATGAAACGGCGGGGCGTGGAGTTTGTGCATGTGTACTGTGTGGACAACATCCTGGTGCGGCTGGCTGACCCAGCCTTCATAGGCTTCTGTGTGCTTCGGGGAGCAGACTGTGGTGCCAAGGTGAGCGCCAGACTTGGCCCCGCCTCTTGCCGGGCACTGTCCCTCTTCTCGTCCCTGTCACTCCCGCACTCTGTCTCTGCTCGGTGGCTGCAGGTGGTGGAAAAAGCATACCCCGAGGAGCCAGTGGGCGTGGTGTGCCAGGTGGATGGGGTCCCCCAGGTGGTGGAATACAGCGAGATTAGCCCTGAGACCGCTGGGCTCCGAGGGCCTGATGGGGGCTTGCTCTACAACACAGGCAACATCTGCAACCATTTCTTCACCCGAGACTTCCTGGATGTGGTCACCAGGTGTGTGACAACAGGTGGCTGTGGCATCCCAGGCTGGGCTGAATCTAAGAATGCCACTGCAGCTAGAGCTCACCTAGCCTGAGCTGGGCCACCGTTGGGAGTGCAAGGGATTGGGTAAAGAGACTTCCTGTCACTCTAAACAAGCTGGAACCCACCTGTGTCATGCTCCGGGCACCCTGCATGAGGCCCTGGACAAGGCTCTCCTGACCCCACTGTTCATGGATGCCACTTCTGCCCTGTCGTTAGCTTGCTTGAGCAGCATTGTGGCTGGTGGTTCCTGGCTTTTGGCCTGGGGATGCTGGGAGAAAACCCGTGTCCTTCCCAGAGACATAGCTAGGTCCTAGTTTCACGTCACCTGGCTGGGGGCACACAGAAATGAGGGCTGGCGTCCCAGGGGCCCCTGTCTGAAGCACACTTGCCTGTCGCCCTCTTGCTACCAGGGAGTTTGAGCCCTTGCTGAAGCTGCATGTGGCCGTGAAGAAGGTCCCACACGTGGATGAGGAGGGGAATCTGGTAAAGCCGCTAAGACCGAACGGGATAAAGATGGAGAAGTTTGTGTTTGATGTGTTCCAGTTTGCTAAGTTAGTGGTGGAAGTCACTTATTTTTCTCTTTCCTCTCTGTTCTGGCAGTGGGTTCAGAGGTTCCCTAGGACAGTAGGAAAGGGGGAGCTTAGTGAGGGGCAGGGGTTGGTTTGTCTCAGGGAAGTCCAGAGGGTGTTCTTGCCCCTAAGAAGAAGAGCAGAGGTTCTGAGAGGACAGGGAACAACCCCAAGTGCCCACAGTCCTGACCCAAGGTTGGGTTTTGGAGTTGCTGGGTGAGTTCTAGTGACTTCTACTTCTGAACTTGTGACAAGTGAGAGTTGGAGGGCTTGAGGTTCCTTAGGATCTCAGGAAGGCACGGGTGCTTTCTCTGCCTGTGGGGCCCCCCTAGGTCACCGTACTCATGGGAGCAGACTCCTATTTAGGGAGCTCTGGCCTACCCTTGCCTGTCAAGAGCAGAGCAGCTGGCTGGGATGCAGGGCGATGAACTGTTGTCTCCACCAGGAACTTTGTTGCCTTCGAAGTATCTCGGGAGGAGGAATTCTCCCCGCTGAAGAATGCTGACACAGCCAGCAAGGACAACCCTTCCACCTCCCGGAGAGCCTTGTTGGCTCAGCACTACCGCTGGGCTCTGCAGGCCGGAGCCCACTTCCTGGATGCACATGGGGTCCAGCTTCCTCAGCAGTCTGGGTGAGGCGCTCTGAGATTAGCCTGGGGAGCAGTATTCTCATCCCAGAGGCCTGTTGATGCTGCCACTGTCCCAGGTGGCTTCTAACCCAGTGCCACACCAAATGCAGGCTCTGTGTTCCCAGCCAGTGACTGCCTGCTTGGTGACTATGGGCTCAGCCTCTTAGCCTCAGGTTATGCTCAGGGAGGCAGGGTCTCAGATGCCCTCAAATGTACTCTCATTAGCTCCAAAGACGAGACCTAAGCCTGACCTGAAGACACACAGGAAGGCTTGACCTTTGGGACAGGAGAGGAAAAGGACTTGTGGTGTCTTGTCTCCCCTATTGCCGTGCTGGAGGTGCAGCTAGGGCTGGCTGCCTGAGCTCTGTGCAGGGGCCCTGAGTAGTGATTTATGTAGCTAGATCAGAGCCTGTCACTTGGCAGATGGCATGTACGGGTTTGGGCTGTGCAGAGGGAGGAATCTACTGTGGAGGTACGGCTGGTGTGTGGCATTGGAGGTGGACTTGTCTCTTCATAGCCGGAGGGTGCTGGGAGGGTCCCTGGCATTCACTTGAGAGGTTGACCATTTCTGTCCCTCAGCTTGCTCCCAAATGGAGACCCTCCAGCCATCTGTGAGATATCGCCCTTGGTGTCTTACTCTGGAGAGGTGAGTGTGCAGGCCCTGTCCAGGATTTCGTGAGGTCTGGTTTGTGTGAACCAGAAGAGGAAAACAGGAGAAGTGGGCATTGGGTGGACGGGTCACAGCCTTGATTCAGTTGGTCAATGAATGCAATGGACTGAGGGGTCTTGGGAGGGGTTGGGGTACAGGAGAGAATCAAGGCTGAGACCAAGACTTTGGGGCGTCTTCCTGAGGGAAAGACCGCAGTCTTCTTCTGACTCTGCCGGATGGTGTAACTCTGGAGTGCTGTTTTGGGCTGGCTGGAGGAATTATGGGCAGACAAAGTAGACACTTAGCTGCTATAACCTTTTGTTTCTAGGGGTTGGAGATGTACCTACAAGGCCGAAAACTCCAGTCTCCATTCATTCTGGATGAGGACCAAGCCAGGCTGCTGCAGTCACAGGAGTGCTAACCTGCTTGCTCCCAGCCTCTCCAGCCCTGGGGTCCTACCGGGTGCTGATGCAGCTCTGGCCCAGGCTCTGAGTGGACATGCTGGCCTGCAGGACACAGAAGGGAGTGTGCTAGTTTACTTCACAAGGCTGGGACCTCTTGGGTCCCCCATGGAGTGTGGTTGTCTGTCTGTGCTTGTTTTGGTTTTGCCCCATTGCTGGCTCTGGGGCTCCGCTGAGAGGCAGAGGGTTGGGGACCTCGGCACACGGGACTGGAGGTAGAGGTAGAGTGTGAGGTGTTGTCTGAGAAGGCAACACAGGACATGCACTCTGATCCCACACTGCCAGCACACAGGCCAGCCAAGTGCTCAGCAGACGGAGAGATGCCTCATGGGGGTGTAGCTAAAGGACCCCCCCCCAGTAGCTGAACAGTAGCTAGCTGAGCATGTCACCCATGTGCCTAGACGTACCAACAGAAAAGGCATTGAGGACTCTGATGTACACGCCTGAGATGAGCAAGTTCTCCCTGACTTCCGGAGATCTGTCCCACAGTCCCAGTCTCCCAGTCAACACCCACAAGTGGGCCTGGCTGCTGTGTTCTTAAGTATGTTCCCCCAAGAACCAGGCCACACTGTTGCCTTTTAGAGTGACTACTCATTTTGTCCAGGCCAGCACATCTCCTCCTGATTGGTCTTTTCCAAGAGCTTAGAACTTACTTGGAGATGTCGCCTCAGTGTAAGTGGTGCTTGGCTCAGCTGCCCAGCCTTGTACTGTCTCTGACAGCAACTCCATTGACTCACAGCTGGCTTCCCGTGCAGGACAGGGGTGACACCCGCCCTTCCCCATGATGTAATAGTGGTCCGGAGAGGCAGCATGCTCCCTCTCATCTAGCCTTGGAGGTATAGGCTCCTGCTCACTCCTGTCCACATTCCCAGAGGAGGTGGCTGGGAAGAGTATATTCACCTTGTGGTGTGGAAGCAGTGGGTCTGGACTTGGGAAAGATGGCAGGATCAGGCCCACGGCTGCCATCTTGGGAACTGACATGTAGAAGACAACTGGGCTTTTGTAAGCTCTGTGGTCATCTTGCTGTAGGCCTCAGAAGCAAAGTGTATTCTGGCACCCTTCTCTTCCTGCTCCACAGGCACGCTGGGGTCCCTGGAGGAGGAGAGGGTCCCTGAGGGAGACCAAAGGTTCAGGTTCTTCCTGAATAAACAATTAGTTGGGTGAATTCTTGAAAGGAGTTAAAATTCTCTTACATGATTATAAGACAGTATCAAGCAGGGAGGCGCACTTTTAATTCCAGCACTCCCAGAGGCAGGCAGATCTTGGGGAGTTTGAGGCCAGCCTGGTCTACAGAGTGAGTTCCAGTACAGGCTCCAAAGCTACAGAGAAATCCTTTCTTGAAAAACAAAACAAAAAGACAGTATCAAATGGGGGTGATAGAGATACAGTGTTTAGAGTTTTCATGTGTACCCCTCAGTCAATCAAGATGAATAATTGTTCCCTCACCATACTCTCCATAGTCACATCCCAACACACCTAGTCCCAGATTACCCTGAAAAGACTACTTTTCAAAGAGTGGACTTTACTTTCACAGATAGGACATTTGCAGTAAATTCCCAGCTACAGGGGTTAACTTGTCTCTTTTGGAGGCAGGGTCTGCTGTATCCCAGACTGGCCTTGAATTAGCTTCATAGCCAAAGATGACCTTGGACATCTGAAGCCCCTGACAAGGGGCTTAGTTTATGGGGTGATGGAAATTGAATCCACGTCTTCATGTGCACAGTAGGCAAGCCCTCTACCAACAGATAGCTCCCGCCTCAGGTGCCGTAGCTCGCATGGCATACAGACATGGGAATAAGTATATCCAAAGGACAGCTTTGGGAACAGGAGGCGCCCAAGAAAGTCTACATGCTTCTCTCCAGTTCTTCACCAGGGATTTGGAAAATCCATAACATGGGACACTCCAGGGAAGACCATTGTAGTGATGCACGTGGTGGCTCTCACATGCACTAACCTTTTTGATAGTCCAATATTTTGTTCAGTGACTGCAGGAAGCGTCACTTGAGGGCATGTGGGACTGTTCACAGGTATGTGTGGGAAGACAACCAGCAGGACACTAAATCTGGCCTCAAGAAGAAGGCCAGGAGACCTGAGGCCAGGAGGGTTCCCAAATTCACAGAAACCAAAGGACAAGCAGGCTTACCATAAGGCGGGGAGCCCTTCAGGCACCCAGAGTGCACAGCCAAAATGCACACTGTTAACCTGGGTGTGGTGGCACACGCCTTTAGTCCCAGTGCTGGGGAGACAGAGGCAGGCAGATTTCTCGAGTTCAAGGCTAGCCTGGTCTACATAGCAAGTCAGTCAGCCAGGACTACATAGAGAGACCCTGTCTCACAAGAGCCGTGTAGTTGGGCCTGGAGCGAACATGTGTCAGGGAGCCCCTCACACTCCATAGGTACTGCTTTGCAGGTTTGAGCATTTACTTGAAACTGTATGTGCAGCAAATCTAAGTAGCTAGTCCTACAGCATAGCTCCCAAGTACATGGGCTATGTAAAACTTCCCTGTTCTATCCCCTTACCCATGGACGGGGCGGGGGGGGGCCTAGCAGTGTACTTCCGTGCACAAGGCTCTGGTCTAATCATCTTATGAAGAAGTAGGCTGGGCCTGTTTTGGTTCCCCTGTATAGAAGACAACAGTCTTCATACTGAGACTTACATGGATTCATCCCATTTTATACAATAGGGGTTTGCTGTATCTCCATCTCTAGTACAGGCTCCAAAGTATGTGATCTGAGAGTTGCTGCTTTTTTGTTTGTTTATTTTGTTTTCTCTGTATTGTTTTGGAGGCTGTCCTGGAACTCGCTCGGTAGATCAGGCTGGTCTCGAACTCACAGAGATCCACCTGCCTCTGCTTTCTGAGTGCTGGGATTAAAGGCGTGCTCCACCAATACCTGGCTTGAGAGTTGCTGCTTTTAACAATTGAGATTGGAATGGAGTAAAGGAACTCATGTTTGCCAGTGGTCATGATTACCAAGCAAAATCAAGGGTGCCCAGCGAAATATAGCCAGTGAAATCAAGGTAGCGTGTGAACTATGGAGAGACATAACAGGCTGGCCTCTGTTACTGACTTAGCTTGTACTTGATTACTGCTGTGATCAGCAGGGTTCCGTTCATTAGACATCTAGCAAGCCGGGTCGATGACTGTGTGTTCCTTTAATCCCGGCACTCAAGGCAGATCTGAGCTTGAGACCAGTGTGGTCTACAAAGCAAGTTCAAGGACAGGCAAGGAAACACAGGAACCCTGTCTTCAAAGAAAAGGAAAAAGGGGACTCTAGTGAACATGACCCTTCCCCCTCCAGGTAAGCAACGTGGTGGTACAGATACTACCAAAGGCTCATGAACAGACCAGAGCTGCGAGTCTAAGCGAGGTCTGCTCAAAGCTGTGTGATCCACGGATTTGGCTGACTCCTGCTTTTGGTGTGGAAAGGAAGGGTGTCCCTCTGGTCTGGGCAGATCAGGGCCGAAGGCGTGAGAACCAGGAAGATACATAGCATACTGTGGAAGGTCTCAGGGTTGGTTAACAAAAGAAATATCTAGCAGGGCAGTGGTGGTCATAGCATTAATGCCAGCACTCGGGAGGCAGAGACAGACGGATCTCTGAGTTCAAGGCCAGCCTGGTCTACAGAGCGAGTTCCAGGACAGCCAGGGCTACCCAGGAAAACCCTGTCTTGGAAAAACAAAACAAAAACAACAAACATGCACACACAACCCAAAGCATCATGAGAGGAATAATCATCAGGCAACACGTCCATCATTACGTACGTCTCAGGTGGACTACAAAATTATACTGCGTTAACAAGTATTTGCATTATTTACTCTGGAGGTATAGGCAGGCAGATCTCTGAGTTTGAGGCCTGCCAAGGAGTACAGTGAGACCCTGTCTGAAAAACCAATAAAATAAGCATTTGCTAATCTTGGTGGTGCTCCCCTTTAACTCCAGCCCTAGGGAGGCAGAGCCAGGCAGACTTCTGTGAGTTCAAGGCCAGCCAGAGCTGCACAGTGAGACCCTGTCTAAACAGTTCATCAATGGGGACTAAGCATAAAAATATATGAACCCATGGGGGACATGGCCTCCAAACAACCATAGGCGGCAAGTATCATTTGTAAGACTTTACAAGGCAGGGTGGGTAATTGGGAAGGACAGGAGCCAGCACCACTTACCGGTCTTTAGGGGCCACATGATGATCAGGTAGTAAGTGACAGAGTCACATTTATGGCAACAGTGAGACGTGCAGAGGCTGGTGGGACTACTACAGGCCCGGACTAAACATCAGACTCCACAGAAACCATAAACAAGTCACAGGACTCAGAGGAGCCATTAAAGGAACCCACGTGCTCCTTCAGGAAGTCCTGCTACCCACCAGCACAAACAAGACAGGAAATCTTGGCAAGCGCGTGCAGTGATGCATGCCTATAGTCCTGGCATATTGAGGAGGCAGAAAGACCATGATTCTGAAGCCAGCCTGGTCTCCTAGAAAGACCCTGTCTTTTTTTTTTTTTTTTTTGGCTTTTCAAGAAAGGGTTTCTTGTGTAGCCCTGGCTGTCCTAGAACTCTCACTCTGTAGACCCAACTAGCCACCTGCATCTGCCTTCCTAGTGCTGGGATTAGATGTGAGTCCCACCCCCCCCATCCCACTGCCCACTCTTAAATAAACAAAAATTTCATGGTAGTGCAGATTTATGGCATCTGATGATCCTGGAGCAAGGGGTCTGTCTACACACAGGGTCTACACAAATTTGTGCCAGTCAGAGTCTAGAAAAATGACTTTTCCATGTGAGCCCAATAAATATATTTATTTTGTTGTTTGAGACAAGGTCTCTCTATGTAGCCCTGTGTTGCAGTAGTCCTGCCTGTTCCTGTAGCCCTTGAGCCCCAAATAAGTACACGAAACTTATATTAATTATAAAACTATTGTCCAATGACTAGGGCTTCTTATTAGCTAGTTCTGTCTTAAGTATTAACCCATTTCTATCAGTCTATGTATTGGCATGAGGCTGTGGCTTACCCAATAATGCCCTGTATGGTGTTATGCTTCTGGCAGCATTGCCACTCTGTGTGGCAGGTTCACTCTGCCTACCTTTCCCAGAATTCTTCTTGTCTCCTAGACCCACCCATCTTCCTGCCTTATTGGCCGAACAGTGGTTTTTTTTTTTTTTTCCGAGACAGGGTTTCTCTGTGGCTTTGGAGGCTGTCTGGGAACTAGCTCTTGTAGACCAGGCTGGCCTTGAACTCACAGAGATCCACCTGCCTCTGCCTCCCGAGTGCTGGGATTAAAGGCGTGTGCCACCAACGCCCGGCCCGAACAGTGTTTTATTCATTAACCAATAAGAGAAACATATATACAGGAGGGCAGCCCCATCAGCCCTGGCTAGTCTGGAACTTACCATCTAAACCAGGCTGGCCTCAAACTTACACAGAGTCACCTGCCTCTACCTCCTAAGTGCTGGGATTAAAGAGTGCACCACCATGCCTGCCTCCTTACATTTGTTTGGAAAATTCCTTTGACCAATTGACGAGGGGTTAAGACATGGAGCTTCTGACTAGCAAGAGACCTATTACAACCGGCCATGTGATACCTTTGCTTCCTTGGATAATGTTGCGTCCCAAGAAAGGAAGGAATCCAAGTGGTCAGAAATTTTTTGCCATAACAGGATCCATGAAAGCATTGACTGCTGGCTTCAAGGGCCAAGCATGGATTCTCACAGAAGACACACACAAAATGGAGACACATGCAGGCAAAATATCCATACAGATAAAAATAGATGAACTCTCAAACATTTTCTAAACTTAAAAGCGCCTAAGTAGATGAGCACTAATAAGAGGAATGAAGGTAGAGGGGAAAATACCAAACTCAAAATTAAGGACACTGATAAGTGCATACCCTTTCCACTTTAAAGTCAGAATGGGGGGGGCGGGCGGTGGAATAAGGCCTGGAGAGTTGGCTCAGTGGTTAAAAGCCCTTGCTGCTCTTGCAGGGGACACTGGTTTGATTCTCAGTATCCAGACGGTGGTTGTTGACAGTCATCCGTAACTCTAGTTCCAGAGATTTCAATGCCCTCTTCTGGATTCCAAGAAAACCAAACATGCATGTGTACATACATATATACATACATGCAGGCAAAACACATAAGAAAATAAAATTTATCTGATTTTTTAAATTAAAA